GAGAAGGCTGCAAGAGACATGGCTCCTTTACTGAGGCCTGCTCTGACCAGTCGTGCCACCTCTCCAAATTCCCTGGTTCGAGCCAGCTTTTCCTGCCCATCCCTGTCCCTGTCCCTGCCCCTGCCCCTCTCGAGGCTGCTTTTTGTCGAGTGCCCGTGCAGCGGCCAGCACAAGACAGCCATGTCCTTGGCTAGCACCTTCTGACCACTAGAGAGCAGGTAATTATACACACTTATAGCCACTCTGCTTCTTCAAATACTAAAATTTCACCCATAGGTACACTTTTGAACACTTTGTTTTTCTAATCAGTGAGCAGTGTCTCTTATCACAGGAATTTTCATTACGTCATACTTTTTATAATTAGTGACAATATGGTATATCTTTCATTTATCTCACACTATCAGGTAACTCTTGGCTATCAAAATGTTATTAGCCCCCAAAATAATTAAATGATCCCCCTTTTATAGGAAAAATACAGAATTTCCTGTGCCTTTACTATAACCTCACTGTAACCATTACTGAAAGAATACATGATAATCAAGCAAGAAATAAAATTACCAAATGTCTTGTCTTAAATCCTAACATTAAGAATTAACAGATAAAGAGAAAAAAAGAGTCTTTAATAATTTTGAAATCAACTTGCAGAGTTTGAAAAATTAACCTTAAGATGCAAGTTAAGAAAGGGAATGATAGTAAAACCACATCATTCATTTTCCTCAGGATTAGCGAATTCTGCATTTTAGAAGGCTCTCAAATATCTATGAATATAAGCATATTGTCATTAGTAATACAATCTTCTTTCTAAGAAAACACCCACAGATTGAGCTCTCCATTGGATGGAGGGCAATATCCCATTTTATAGCAAGATTTTTATTTTTCTCCACAGAGGCTGGAATTCTCCAGGGCAGTGCTTGTGTCCTTCAGTGCAGAATATAATCATTTTGACCATAGTCGTCTTTTTCTAAAAGAAAGTACTTCATTTACCAAAGAAAGTTCACGAGTGATGCGCTTCTTCCTGCCTTTCACTATTAAAGGCTGCACTGACACTGTAGTAAATGCCTTTCCAATTGGATTTCATATCTAAGAGGTGAAATATTATGTTTTACTGTCTGATTCACTAATTTTTAACAAATACATTTTGTAAATTTCTACATACACCCTTAAGTGTCAATAATATTAAGTGTTCACTTAAACATTGCATTCATAGATAATTTACCTTTTTAGGTTTTTCACATTTCATTTGCGATCTTCCTCTGAAATAGGATAAAAAGTCAGGGTTTATGCTATCTCCATTCAGTAATTTGATAGGTCATAACATGAACATTTCAGAGCTCTCTCTGAGCTCCAAGACGTATTCCTTTCTCTGTGTCTACGGAGAGACCTCAGTGCAGTCAATGGGCTTTTGTTCACTTCCATCAGTGACGGTTTGTTCCTGAGTCATTAGGGAAAATGCCTGCACTGAGCTCCCGTGTGCAAGAGCGAGGACCACAGTGCAGATGTTGGAAGGAGTTACAGACCCTGCTGTCTCCCAACCACTCTCTCGCACCTCCTGTCCCTGTTTCCCCCTGGCGAGCATTGCCCTTGTGATGTGCTAGGGCACATCAGAAGGGACCTGGATGACTTTCATTACCCTTGGGCTCTTCGGGGGGAGAAGGATTTGCCACACAGGCTGAAGGGCCCTAGCAGGGGACCATTCAGATAAAATAGAGCTCTCATGGTGGGAAGTATGATGAAATCCTGCTTTGCCTCCCACTGTGGCTTCGCCTGCTATGGGAGTAAGCAGGAGGCTTTAGCTTTCCAGATTTATCAGTCAGCACGTATGAATGTCCTTCTTAGTCCAGGACAATCTTCATGGTCTAAACCTATCACAAAAGCTTTACCTTTTGGTAAATAAAAAAATCTTACTTTTGATGCTCACCATAGTAAAATGCAGAAATCACAAATACAGATTATTTCATGTATTCCTGTGACGTCAGATATGGCAGGTTATTGCAGCCAAGCTGGAGTCGCGGTGTGCAGTTTGCAGGCTCCTGGAGCAGCCATCTGGGAGTGCAGACATAGCTCTGTGCCTCCCACTACCGCATATTTCTCCCAATTAGGTCCACAAAGGCTAAAGCACACTTTCTCATTATCTAGTCCACTGGCTGTGTTAAGAGTAAAACCAGTGTTATCATTTCCATTCAAGTCCTGTACTAGCTTAAAGCCGCAACACAACTAATTAACTGTCCCATGCAATTAGTAACCACCATACATACATTCTGGAACATAATGGAAAGCATTTTTTTTTAGCCTTTGTGCAGCTAATAGGGTCCTGGTTTGGGGGAGCTGCAAGATACGCATTTCCATTGCAAGCAGCTACTCTTTCAACCTCCCTTTCGGGTAAAGGAGGTCTGGGCTCTGCACACTCTCAGGCACTTTCAGTAGAAACTTGCAAGATATTTGCCTCTTCTGAAATACAGATCCTGAGGGTCTACTGCGCATGATCAGGCCTGCCAAAAGTACCAGCGTTCAGTCCCTTGAGACTTTTTTAGTGGCTGTGAAGCACTTTCTCTCTCTTACCTACTGTGAAATCCTTACGTCCTCCATCTTACAGGACCAAAAGAAAAGTATATAGATTACACACAACATTAGACCACCTAGACAAGAAGGTTTTCCTCCTGTGTATCAATCAATGCACATGCAAAGAAGCCAAGACGTTCTTCAAGCAGTTGCAAAGGGTCAGAGGCGTGGGCACTGCTAATAAGCATCTCTCACCTCTACTCCAGCTATAAAATCCCTGTTATACTGCCTCACCACGCCATTCATATGAATAAGCTAAACTGCTTAAATATGTGGTAAGGTAATACAGGGCTCATCTCACCTTGCCATATGAAGGCAATATTATGATAATATTACCATAACAACGTTATGGTCATGTTATGATTACCATGTAACAGCAGGTAATTGCTACCTGTTGTAACTAGCCAAGCTAACCTTATAGCACCCATTAAAATATCTGTAAAACATTCATTTCTCTATTGACGTGGTTTAACTTGAGTATAGAGCAGATGCAGACATATATTTCTACTTATTAGGAACAGAAATTGTGAATTCAGCAGTATGTACAAGAGAAAACAGAGGCGATTGCAAGCTAAAGGGAATGGTGCAGTACTGCTGTGGGAACAGAGAGGTCAGAAACAGGTCATAAATCAGTGAGTTTATCAATCAGAGCAGTGCAAGGTTAGGCTCAGCAATGTGGTCAAAGGGAAGAGAGTTTTAGAAATGAACAACCAGGACTACTGCCCTGCCACAAGTGAGGTCCCTGCACAGCGCAGTCACTATGGAGAGCAGCTGCAAATCAGGACAGAAATGTGGTTTACAGTTCAATGTTATGGTACTATGAGAAATGAAATACAGCTAGAGGCAGAAAACAGAGGAGAAGAAAATAGCCAGCACCTGCTCATAAACTGGCTTAGGTTTTCTACAAAGCTTTAAACCATTCTAGTTTGGATCACAGTGAATAAATCTGGTTTTAAAGTTCAGAATTTCAGATTTTTCAAAATTCAGTAGTTCCAATATTCAGTATTCAAGATTCAATATTTCCAGCCCAACACTCAAAATAGTTTTGGAAGAAAAAGCACAGAACTTTCAAAGATTAACTGTCCCTAGTTTAGAATCCTAGTATTTATGCAGACATGAGCACCTATAAAGACTGCTTCTTGTCCTGGGTGTTTGCACTGTGTAGATACAAGGGTTCCTTTTCACCTAATGAATTTTGAGTCTCCCATGCGTAATCTCAGTTTGAGTATCAGTTCAGTCGGGCATAAAGCCAGTACAGACTAATGCAAATATTGTAAACAATTAAGCCTCTGGCCATGTGCGATTCAGAACTGTCGTACATAAACTTTCTGTACACAAAGGAATTTAGAATCCGGACATGAACTGTTATTGCTTTTAGACTGATAGAATTGCAGACAGCTTGTTTTGGCCTTAATTAATGAACTGTTGTTTCAATCAGCATTTGCCTGTGCTTTATATATGATCCACAAGACTAAAAAATGTTATTTTCCAATTTTTATGTACCGTATGCAGTATCTAACTGCTTTCAAATGTGTGCTGAGATGCAGCAGTCACATGATTTGTAAACGACTTTTTTCTTCTCCCAAGAAAATTACCATGTGTGAGGCCCTTTTAACAAAAATCTTGCAATACATAATATCAGTAAGACCAGGCCTAAAAAGCTCAGGAAATTGCATTTGGAAATTAAAAAACAGGTTTGTAGATGTTTTAGTTCCTGTGGAAGCCACCCTTGCCCTCTGTGATGATGAGCTATGCCCCGTCAGCAGATCCTCTGGGCTTACGTTGATCTTGGATGCTAGTCTTAACTTTGCCACAGCGGGAATTACAGATGGAAGGAGTATACTCTGAATTCGCAAATATTTGAGGGAGTTGACAGCAGGTTACGCTTCTGGGCCCAGATTCAGTTCTGGGACATGTGGATACAAACGCTGATTAAAGCATAAACCTAGATCTCAGTCACTTTTCTAAGTGCACTGTCACCTCAAAATTGTTGGCTCATATGGCTACATTGTGCCTAACACATTCTGAACAGCTTATATATCATGAAAGAAGGGTTCTGATGGAAATATACTGAGCATTTGCTCGCTTTGCTTTGAAAAAATCTCGACTGGTTTTGTTCTTCTTTTCTGAAAAGTACTTGCCCCATTTCTTGACAGACTCTAACCTACATTACTTGTTTCCAGGCCACAGGTAATGAAACGATTGGCCAGGATTTTAAAGGAAAAAACAAGTTTCTGTTTCTCACAATTTGCAGCTCTGCTTTACAACTCTTACTGCAAGTGGACACTTTAAAGCAGTCCTAGAAACAGTTTGTCGCAGATTGGCAATGGTGCAGCGTCCATGCAGGGGCGGTGGGTAGAGCCTATTGCACTGCAGCGGCTGGCAGGGAGTCAATACAACGTGACAGTGGGGGAAATAAACTTGATTAGAAAAGGTATTACCGAATAAAAGCCTCCTCCAGGATGAACAACCCCTTTTCCATTCGCAGAGGGCTCTATCTGAGCACAGGTTGGTCGTCTCCTTTCTCCCGCAGCGCTGCACAGTCTGTCCCTGTCGTCGGATACTTCACCGTACACAGAGACGGGTCCTGCCTCGCTGACTGATGCTGCGGAGTTCCCTTTCGTAGCACCTCCATGCCTAAACACAGAAATGGATTTGTCATGTTGGATAAACGCTGCTGCGTCTTTCTGAGGAATCCCAGGTTGCAGGATGTGACCTAAATAGACACAAATGTTCCCTTGAAAATGTATTCTGGCAGAGGGCTCAGCACATCGTGCAGATTACAAATTGCACCCAATTTTCTGTTTTAACTGCCTGGTTTCTTGTGCTGAAGCTGCTGATTGCTTCTGCTGCTGCAATTCAGAGAAACATTTTCTACATAAAAATAAAAGTAGCAGTTGCAAGCATTTAAAGAGTGCTGAAAAAGAACAATTTACATGGTCACTTTTTATTCCATGCTCCATTGCTCAGTTTCCTATTGTTAACTGATGCAAGCAATATAAGCCCTGATCCTGGGACAACATATGTGCCAAGAATGCTCATAAGTAATGGTACCACTTCAATTCTGAGATAAGCAAATAAAATAAAAGTTGGTTATGTCACAAATTTGTCAGAGCAGTGCCTCCTCACCCACGATGCACATGGAAACATGATCTCCTTTGCGTTGTTCTCTTGCTGCTCGAAATCTCAGCAAGGTTTCAGAACTGATATTTCCTGTGACGTTTCTTTCAGAATCATATGTTCCTGAAATGGCCAGAATGCTGGTGGAAGAGGGTTCAAATCATGTGCAGATACCTGTTTCGTTTTCTGACACATGTCCTGGCCCTGACACATGTTCAGCCCTGAGTTGCCTCATGCCCATCCTTGATCCCCAACATCACGTGCACCCACCAGCTAACAGCTGAGACACTCACGACACGAAGGGTTCTCGCAGCCTTGTGCACGAAGTGGGGCTAGAAGGGAGCCTGCTACATTACTCAGACAAAGACTTCCAGACCTTTGCAGACAGGAGGTTGGGAAGAAGCATCAAAACCCCGGAGGAGTTCAACAGCACCTCTAGTAAGGTCTTTTCCGCTCCTTTAGCACTCTTCAATTGTGCTGCTCCAAAGAGGAGGGAGGGGGACTCACACATTCCCAGGAAGATCATGTGTGTTTAATGTGTCTCCAGTTCACTCTGTTTTGTCTCTCTCTCCTTAAGGCATGTGTCCCACAGTGGGAACCTTAACCCCAACAGGCATTTTCACTGGAAATAATATTTCATAATGATGTAAAGAAATATATAAGTTTTTTGAGCACTTAATAGAGTCAGCAATTAAACAGAAAGCTGTTCTCAGCCATAACCATATGGAGGCTGGCATACTGGTGTAATAAAAAAACTGAAGAAAGAGGCAATAACATACTTACATCATTGCAAAGAAGAAAAATCAGGAATAGGAAGAGAATAAGATTTGAACTGGCATCAAATGATAGGCATTTGCTTTCAAGCACAGACACAAAGATCCTGTCTTAGAAAGATCTTGGCTTAGAAAGTCAATTTGCTTTTATCTTCTTCAGTTTCCCACTGTGCACCAGGCAACAATATTCTCTCTTTGCTGCTTATCTGACCTGGGAGCTCCTACATTGATGTTGATGCATCTGGATTGTTATACGCTAATATTGCCCATTAAAGTCCAAATTGTTTTAAAAAGGTGAAAAACGTCACTCCAAGCAGGAAT